GACTCCACTTATGAACTACTATTTATATTTTAACACCAAAAGAAATTCCTATTAAGACACGTAAAATATTTGTATTTTAAAATGCTCTGTAAAAAATTCAAGTTTGTTCACATTTCTAATTTATACATGCACATATAAATGTCACGAACAAAAGTTACATGGGGAAAGGAATGTGAACAATTTTCTTTTCAGAATAGGCATTTAGGGTTAGATTTTAATCCTGATTTTACCACTGTAAATCCAGAGTAACTCTAGAATCTAGACCTCACCCTACTGAAACACTGAAATTGTATTAATCTTTTCCAAATATTAATTTAAATCATATGTAGCCATTAATTTTATTTCAGCAAAAATTGTTTAGAAAGTTTGATATCTGTAAACAAGTATTTCCTCAAGATAAGGCAGATATTTTTATTAGCCATGACACACCTGCACACTGTCAATTGATCTGGAAGCTGCAAGAGGACTGATAAAGGCTTCCTTTTGCCTGAGACACTAGTCTACTATTTGATCTCCTTGATATCGTGGAAGTGATTTCAGTTTATCTCAGTCTGTGAGGTACACAGAACTGAGGGTGGGGAAAAGATAAATAGAAAAATGTGTGTTAATTCAAAGATGCTGGTTGGAGCAGGGGGTTGTAGGTTTTGTGTATTCTTGCAATAAATATCACTGTAGCACTTTTCTTGGAAATGCCTCAGCAGTTCAATTTGTTTCTGGGAACACAATTTTACTACTTTTTTGGAATACTGAAATCTATAATTTTCAAATATTCTAATTCAGTCTTTGAAATTTTTCCATGTGCTTATAGCACATATTGAATATATTATATTGTTGTAGAAAAGGACAGGAGATCAGAATTTGTGAAAATGAGACTACATTGTAAGAATTGAAAGAGATTTTGTGATCTGTTTTTCATAAATTTTACCAGCTCCAATAAATTATACTCCCAATTGGCATATGCCTAGACAAATTTATAATTTACTCTAAATTAAATCTTTATTTGATGCAAATAAAACAAATGAATTTATGAAGCAAACCATAAAGGAACAAAAACAAACATATTATCATACTGTCTAAATCTGAAATACAATATATGAAAACAATAAAAGGCCTGTGCCTGCCTTTCTCTTGCATTCATATCTCTCCATTGAATTAACTGACAATTTGGGCATGCAAGAAATTCAGGATTTGTGCTGCTTAGGTACAATTGCCATTTGTAATTAGTTTACTTTTCGCACCATAGAAATAGATAACCAAAACCATGTAACTTCTTATAGTTGTATCAGTGAAGTTGTAAAAAGCAGTTCTTCAGTTAGTGTATTACTAAAATAATTCTTCAACTTTGAAGTTACCCACATTATTTTTTAGATTATCAGTTATTTTGGACACAAAGGATAGTTAGTTGCATGATTAAAACACAGAACTTGGAATCAGGAATTCTGGCTTTAGTTCCTGGCTCTCTCTCAAACTTTCTCTGTGATGTTGGGCAAACTGCTTTCTGCCTTGGTTTTCCTTTTCATTGTGTTAAAAAAAAAAATCAGGATACTACTTCATCAGCTCACAGCATTTATATGAGGCTTAATGGGAGTTCCACATGTGAAGGACTTACAGAACCTGGCTCTAAGTGTTCACTTGCAAGTTCAGAATGTCACTTTTTTATCAATGTAGTACAGTGAAGTCCCTGTGCTGCCCTGTATCAACACATGGAATTCACATTAATGTCAATAGGAATTGTGTACATGTATTTAGCAGATTGTTTGAATAAGAAAATATAAAATGAATTTTAAATAGCATGTAATAGCAAAGATATAATTATGGATAAACATGTTTTTCTAAGGGAGGGAAAAACTGCTATGTAAGTGGTAAATGCTGATTTTTTTAGCTGGCTACTTCTTTGGACTCCATTAGCTATACTACAACCGTACCATAATATAGTGTGCACAGACTTCAGTCACTACAATAGATCATAATAGTCTAATTCATCTCCTCTATCTCAATATACAAAGAACAACCTTGTTCTTTCCATTTTTAACACAATTTCTGATGCTCATTGGGAAGCCACTGCCTCTCTCCTCCTCCTCGCCCCCAATCCATCAGGTGAAGTGTTACACGATATAAGAGGGTGGAAATCTGACAAAATAAAAAGTTACAGTAGATAGTACTCCTAATTATGTATGTTACCAGGCCAAAAGTGTATAGGAACGGAACTAATAGTACCCACAGGTTTCAGAGGAGGGGAGTTATTGTAAGGGTTTGGACTCAGGCACTGGGTCTGTTTTGCAAGAAGAACTCATTGTAATTAGTGAGAGTAAAGATCTCTGGTTTTCAGCAAAAAACTATGAAACATAAAATCTGGCTGGCATCTCCCAAGTGAAAAACACTTTCATAGCAAATATGCATGTTTTAAAATTTGTCATTGCTTTTCCATTTAAAGAAAATGAGACATGAAAGTTCTTTGTTTATACAGGGCTGGAGATACTCCACAGCATAATTAGGCAATGTTGTATCAATCAAATGATAGTAGTCCTGAGCAAAAGATAAATAACTGTTATGCTTTTTAAATATTTTCACCCATGACTTTTTATATAACAGCTGAAATATTGCAAATAGACAGTATTAGTCCTTTAAAATTGCTCCTTTCATGCAGTGGATTTTCTACTCTTCAGGATGCATTTCATTAAATAACACTAAATTCATGAAGAAACCCCAGGAGATCCACCTTTTCTGCAAGACAAGAGGAATTTAGAAGACTAAAACTGTGTAGCACCATTTTTTGGAGACAGATTACTAGAAAGATATATTTTTAAACAGAAGCAGTCCACAGTACCAGCATTAACATCATCATGCTCAACTATGCTTTCATTTTCAAAAATTAGGTAAGAAATAGGCCCTCAAGAAATGGGACACTTTCCAGTTTTAGCATTTATCCCATCAAGTTAAATATTTTATTTCTGTCTTTACGACAATCAGAATGTTACTCCAATTATGACTCTTCAAAGCACTCAGTAAGCATCAAAAGCTATTTTTCTCTTATACTTCGAGCCCCAGCCTGCTCCTTTTGAAGTCAATGGCAAAATTCCCATTTGGCTTCAAGGCTATACCCTTATTCAATATTTTATTGTGTATGTGAAAAGTTCTATTTTATCATAGAATATAAACTGTCATTCAATATCTACTATCCTCATTTCTTAAAATGTGGCAATTCACTCTAAAATATCAAAATTCACTCTAAAAAGTAAAACAAACTAAAATGAAATAGTCATAATATGTGAGAATTTTAATAAATAAGAATATTATTATGAAACAACTTTGCTGATAGTCTGGTAGGCTAGGAAACCTCAGCAGGTAGAATCTACTAATTTTTATGTTTTTCAATTATTTCAATGTCAGAGTAATTTTAAAAACCTGTGTATTCCTGTCAAGTTAAATTTAGGAAACACAGTAAGTGAACAAACTAACGTGTTTTACCCCTACTTGAGAATATATCACCATATTTAAATCACTATCACGGCCCTGAACAACATTCATTTAATAGTCAGATTCTCTTGGTACAAATAAGCAATTTTGTTTCTTTAATAAACACTATTTTCATTCAATTTAGTTCCCTCTCAATATATGTTTAATAGCCAGCATTTATTTTTCACACAGCAGCTCAACCTTGTTTGTTTTGCCAAGTTTCACACCTGTACGTGAAGGGGAAAATGAATTCAGAATGCTTTTTTTTCCCCCACTTGAAATTCGGATTTATAATCCCATCAAAGCATCTTTATGGTAACTGTTGCAACAAGTATATCAATAGGGGAAAAAATGGATAAACACATTCAGTGCCAGATAAACTATCAAGATACAGAGAACAAGGCTGAAGTTAAGAGTTTGGGCAGGTCTACAAAAGTATGCATAATCAGACATGTAAGCCATTTATAGTGTTTTCAATAAAATTAGAGCCTCAAACCCACACAAATAAAAAAGCCGAATGACAAAAATAAAAGCCACGGGTTTCCCCGAATTTTTCCTTGTCTCTACTCCTACTCTCAAGCCTAACTCATCTGAGCACATACAACAGAAAGTGTACAGTCTCTGATTTAACTGCAAGCAATTAAATAAAGACTCAGTTGAAATGTTCAAATCAGGCCAGCATCTTTCTGTCATAAAACAGTCAAAAGCTAGAGGGTCTGGCATAAAGTAACAATTATCTGGCATACTAAGAGCTCTTGTACTTCCAACCACCTGTTTCACACGGGGCTAGTTAGATCAGGAACACTTTTGAACTACTGTTTCCTCCGTCAGTTGTGGGTGAGGGATTTACTTGTTCTGAATGACAGGGAGCAGCAACACTGTATTTGAATGCTAGCGCTGCATTTTACCCGCCCTCGCTGCTTTCTTTTATATTACCTTTCAAAATCTTAGGACACCTCAGTTAAAGATTAAATCCGCATCAACAACAGCAGTTCAAAGCCTTGTCCCGGGAAGCAAAGGTAAAGATAACGTACTTGTAGCTCTAATCCAGGTTTGGCTGTTGCCTCGCTTTTATGACCCTATAAATGGCACATCATATAGGGCTTAGATTTGCTATCAGCCCGTCTGGTTTGGGTAACGCTAGAACAACCCGACATCTCTACACGCTTTTTTATAACCAACTCCTTGATTAGAAGGCGATTAGGGGTTTACTGAAGCGCTGGCTTTGGAAATGGATTCCTGCTACCCTGCCCTTGTGCGAGATAACGATCGGGAGCATTTCCTAGGGAGGCGGCTGTCATCTCGGTGTAGTGCAGAGCAGGCACATGTGTGCTTTCGCCGCGCTCCCCTAACGGAGCAGCTGGCTCCGAGCCCGCTGCCTGCAGTCTCCCCAGGTGCACGATCCGCCCCGGCGAGGCTCAGCGCCCAGCCCGCAGGCAGCCCCCCGGCTCATCACCCTCGCAGCGGGCATGGGGCTAGAGCCAGCTGCTCGTCCTCCCCCCTCCCGCCACTCCCAGCAGCCCCCCGGGGGAACAGCCACTTACAGGTAGGAGGTGAAGAGGCTAAGGTTGGAGGGCACCGCTGTGAGCCCCCGGTCGGAGCAGTCGGCCCTGAGGAGCATCCCGTCCTGCTCACACTGACACAGCGCCGGGCAGCCCCTCTGCCGCCTCCCTGCGGGGCTCGCCAAGCCTCCGCCGCCAGCCGCGGGCAGCCCGAGCAAGCAGAGCAGGAGCAGCGCGCTGGCCGGGCAGGAGGTGTCCATGGTGCCAGCGGGCGGGGACGCGCCTGATTTCAGCCCCCGCTTCGGCCGGGAGGTGGGACAAGCTCGCCCGGCTCAGCCGCAGCCCGGGAAAGAAGTGGCCGCAGACCCAGCTGCTGCTGCAAGGAAGCTGCCTGCCCTGGCGCGGGGCGCTGCTGCTGCTGCTCTTGCCGCCGGAGCGGGGCCTGCGGAGCCGGAGCTGCTGGAGCCCGAGTGGCGGCCGGCGCGCTGCGCTCTGCAGCCGCATCTCAGTTTACACGCTGCTTTAAAGTGCCGCCGCCGGCACCGCGCGCCCACTGACGCCGCCCAAGCTTTGCCCGCGGCCGCGCTGCGGGGCCCTGCCAGCGCCTCTGGGGGCGGGGAGGGAGGGGGCGCTCTCGTCCTCCTACCTGCAGCGCGCGCTGCCGCAGCCTGTGGAGCGCGGCGGGCTGTGCACAGAGCTGGGCGCGCCTCGGGAAGAGGCGGCGGCGGCGGGCTGGGGCTTGGAGCGCCAAGGGGTGCGAGGCAGGCCCTGCCGGCTCAGCCCAAAGGCGCGAGAAACAGGAGTCGGGCAGGGCGCTGCTTGCAATCCCGGCAGCGCCGCCCGCTTCCCGGGGGCCGCCTGTGCAGCGAGCTCTCCCCGTCGCCGCTGGAAAGCGCGGACTAGAGGAGAGCAAAGGGGCTGTGTGGGGAGCCTTTTTGAAGTCTTTGCTCTGGGGTCTTATCCTGCGTTGTGACGAGATCACACACGGGTGGAACTTTAATTTGGGTTGTGGTTGGCCTGGCAGCAAAAAGGACATCCGAGGGCAGGTTGATGGGCCTCTCCAGTGATTTCAAATCACATGGCAACACATCCCTGCAGCACTGGCAGCAGCACCACATGGGACTCTGCTCGGCACAACCAGACAGTCCCTTGCAACTGGGGACGGGTTGTGTTCTTAAGAGACAAGCAGCCCGTACTAGTAGTAATTATTATTATCGATAGGTCCCTTTATATGCCTTTTCCATGGGTTAGCATTCCAGAGGTATGTCATTTTCAGACACAAATTCTGTAGCGTCTGGGCTGTGTAGAAAAGCAGCACATAGTGGTCTTGAAATGAAAGACTGTCCTAATTCGGAGGGACAGATTAATGGCATGCCTGGCGTGACCAGACCAGCTGAAGTAACACTGTACTTTCAGATAGTAGGCAGTTGTCTAGGACACTTTAGTATCTCATTAATGTGAGTGGCTCCAGGTTTTGAGGGATGTCCATCTTCCAGTTGTCATAGGGCAGGAAAGCCTGTTGCATCAGCCTGTAAACCAGCATCCCCTTTACTCCTGTAAAACACAAGACCAAAGCTCATTCTTTGCAAGAGTGGAAAATTCCTGTAACATTTGTTGCTATCATATTTTGAAAAAAAAGCTCTAATGTGACATGCTAGTGCTTTTGTATTGCTCTGACAACTACACAGTATTTATTTAATTTAGGATTCCAGCAAGATAAAAATTGATCATCCTGTGCTTTAATTACCTTTTAACATACATTTCAATAATGAATAAGGTAGTTAGTGGCACACTTCTTTCTGTGGAACTCCTTGCCAGAGGTGGTTGTGAAGGCCAGAACTATAACTATAAAGTGAAGCTAGATAAATTCATAGAGATTAGGTCCATAAAAGGCTATTGGCCAGGGGGTAGGAATGGTGTCCCTGGCCTCTGTTTGTCAGAGGCTGGAGATGGATGGCATGAGACAAATCACTTGATCATTGTCTTCAGTCCACCCTCCTCCGAGGCACCTAGTTTTGGCCACTGTCGGCAGACAGGCTACTGGGCTAGATGGGCCTTTGGTCTGACCCAGTACAGCCATTCTTATGTTCTTATAAGAGCTGGCTGCTTAACTCCTGTTTGTTCCTGTGAAAAACCCTTCCCAAATTAACAAGGGTTGGATTCACATCTAGCGTAAGTTGGTGTAGTTCCACTGACTTCTGTGAAGTGATGCCATTGTCTACCAACTGTGAACCTGTCTCTACATTTCTGTTAAGGACAGATTCTAGACTGGAAGTAGTATTGTGCTGTTTGTGTTTAACTGGTTGAACAGATTACCTAGGTATTGGAGAGCATTCATGAAACGCTTAAGGCCCTGATAAACTTCACAACGTTCAGATGGTAGTCCAAAGTAATGGCTGAATGAGAGGTCCAGGAAGATAGCATATAATATAGTTTGTACCATTTTTGCACCATAATTTGATGTAATATTAGTTGCATAGGTAGCCTTACACTGGGGCAGAAGAGCTTTATTTAAAATAAGTAAAAGTAGCTTCTGCTTGCCTGTCCTGTAAACCCATGTCCACCAGAGCACTGAGAGACTCTCCTTTACAAACATCCTTTCATGTGCCCATGATAACAATGTCTGGAAGTACAGGAGACATGTAAAGCATGACTAGATGGGGAAAAAATTATGCAGTATACAGTGTTTGCTCTTTGTAACCACTGAGACACCTTGGCACCTGCCATAGAGAGCAGTTTCCCTATTTGGCCACATTGAGAACTGCTTAACCCGTGCAGGATCAAGATCTTTGTTTCTGAATTATGTAATTTTGGAGCAATCCCTCACTGAGTACATTTGAATAGATTCATGCTTGGGGGCTTGTTAATTTACAGATATCTGAATACTTTACTTTCAACTATGTCAAATTGGCCACTTCAAAAACAGGTATTGCATTCCTCTAGAATGTTTAATATACTTTGCCAAAAGATGGCAGAATAATTTTAGTTAATAAGTAAATATATTTCACAAGTACAGTGAAATCATATTTACCCAACTTGGTGGGCTATTACAGATATATTTAATTTGTTCTAAAAGATAGAGTCCATTGTTTACCTAACTCATTTCATGTTGAGAATATAATCAGTGTTATGTTGGATATCTTTACCTCCTTCAGATAAACATAGTTTAATTAATTATGAGGGGGTAGAGAAAGATATATATTTAATTTAGGTATTATTTATTTTGCATGAATAGTTTTGTTCAGCTAATACGTGACTTTGAAATATTAAAAAATAGACCATAACTTTATTTAATTTTACCTAACATTAACATTTGATTTTAAAATAAGACTGTTTTTAGAACTCATTAAAAGCAGGATGTAGTAGGATGAGGGCATGCTCTGTGACTGAATTTAAGTCATATTGTTACAGTTATTTTGTTTTAGTATTTTTGATTTGTAAAATCCCTTGTTTCCCCATAAGAAAGAAAGAAAAACAAAGTTTGTCATTTGAGATAATGCAATAGTGGCGGTTATTGGTCCAAAAGGATATAAGTGGTATGCTTACAGTTCCTCAGAGGAGATTACAGTTTCTTCAGGAATGATCCTTCAGAGCAAATATGTTTCTAATATCTAAGCATATTCTACCGTCACTAAAATCCTAGCCCCTATGAAATCAATGGCAAAGCACCCACTGACTCCAATGGAGTCAGAAATACACCATTATTTCATAGACTAGCTAATTAGCCCATCATAAGACGGGATTTTCAAGTCTCTCCTCCATGTCGGTCTTCTCTCCTGAGCCTCCAGTCTCTTGCTCCGTCTTTCTCTCTCCCCTCCTCCTCCTGCCTCCCCCTCTCTCTCTCTCAGCTCTCCTCCACCTCCTGCCTCTCTCTCCATCTCTCTCTTTCTCTCCTCCTCCCCCTCCTGCCTCTCACTCGCGGGACCGCACTGCCCAAATGGCCATTTGGGCTCTGTGCTCCCTGTGCTGCATGGGGAGCGCAGAGCCCAAACGGTCGCTTGTGCCACTTGCTCCCATACGATGGCCCAGCTGAGCGGCGCAGAAGTCAGATGAGTGCCACTGTGGGAGGCGAAGGGGGGCGGGGCGGTGACGTACACAGCGAGGCCCCGCCTCCTGGCCATGTACATCACTGCCCTGTCCCCTTTCCTCCCGCTGTTGCACTCAGCTGACTTCTGCGCCGCTCAGCCTGGCCGCTGTGGGGGAGCAAGCGGCTCAAGCGGCTGTTTGGACTCCCCCGTGGCGGCCTGGCTGAGCGGCACAGAAGTCAGCCAAGTGCCACGGTGGGAGGGAAAGGGGAGCGGGGTGGTGACATACACGGGAGGGTGCTGCATGGAGACAGTGGGGCCCAAACAGCCGCTTGCGCCGCTTGCTTGCGCCGCTTGCTCCCCCACGGCGGCCCAGCTGAGTGATGCAGAAGTCAGCTGAGCGCCACTGCGGGAGGCGAAGGACGTTACAGAGGCAACAGCGCCACCCGGAGGCAACACAAAGCATTATACCGTTACAGAGTCACAGACATTGGGCTACTATATATTTGATGTTAAACACAGCTTAATTAGCACTGTTTGTCGAGCATTTTATTGTTGACTTTCAGCTCATTTAAAATGATACATGAAATGATGTATCCATATTTATAGATTACTGTTACAGTACTTCATGTTGATGGAATTTTGTGTATTTACAGTATGAAATGCACACGTATACCAAATGCAACACATTTTAATTTATTAATTTCAGTAATTATTAAACCTGGATATTTCAGACATATCATGAATTAACAGCTTGCAAAATTACAGGTTTTACACAGAAGTTGCTTTTTAAAATGCACATTGGGGACCACCAAATATTTAATATTATTTCTCTTCTACTGCTTGGAATGACTAAAATATATTTTTAAAAATGTGGCTAAAAACAACTCCCAGGATAAGAATTTTTATGCTAAGTTTCAACCTTATAAAATTCTAACATCACCATCTCACAACTGTAACCGCAGCCAAAATAAGCTTTAAATAAAGTTGTCAACAGACACATCATTAGTAGCAGCCACTGCTTAAATATTAAAGAATTTTCAATTCAGTGACAAACTAAAAAAATATGAAGGAGGAGGTGGAATGTCAGATTCTTGGTATGCAAGTTAACTATTTTAAGATAAAATGGTACTTCTTCCCTCCTCGTTGCATTGAGCACCCAGAATACAATGAAACTGTGTTTAAACTGCAACGGGCTTGTGTCCTTTACTTACCCGGGAGCTGAGCTCTGGTTGAGTCTTCCAAGTCATCATGGTTTACTCTAGGTATTTATGCTCTGCTTTTCACTGTATTTTGTCAGCACAGAATGATAGTGACAAAATTAGAGCTGGGTGAGCTGCAGTTTTAAAAATATCCATGAACATCCTGAGTTCATAGATTCCAAGGCCAGAAAGAACCAGCATGATCAGCCAATATGACCTGCACAATGCAGGCCTTCATTAGCTCTTTTGGCCATAGCATTGCACTGAGAGCTCAAGTGCAGATGATTATCACCATGACCCGCAAATATTTGGTTTGATTGTTTTTCCTGAACTCCGTTGTTACTTAGTTCAAATTCTGCTTAGAGGTGACTGAAA